TTTAAACATATGTAACATTCTAGAATTTTACAATATAACGTAGTTGCAGGATAGTATAATAAATTTGTTTTTCATGATAAATGAAATTGTTTATTTTTTGAGGAACTCTGGAAGTTTTTTATACAATAAGTGCAATATTTCATTGATATAGAAAATTAGGAAATTAAAAATTGTAATTTTATAATATATGCCTCTGCAGTGATGATAATATAATAAATAATATACGCAATAAGCTAAATATTTTTTCAAGCCCCCAGTTTGTTTTCTACAGTTATATATAATTTATTAAAAATTACTATTTACATTTTTTAAATATTATTATTACTTTTAAATTTGTGATTAAACATGTAACAACTTCTATATTTGTCCAAGTTATGACTAGGTATTTATATGTGTACATAAATTGGATTCCGTAACTTTTTATGCTAGCATTTTCAAAGATGTATATTATAAATTTAAAAACAGTATTATCATTGAATATAAATTTTATAGTATACTAATATTTATAATCAATGGTAGGTATTATATATTAAGGCGCAAGAAAAATTGAAGTTTTAGATGTTGTATTGTTTTTGCACTGCTTACAATATCATATGTAAAACGGCATTGATGCAATATAATATACTGAACAATTCGTAAAATAGTTTTATATGAAGAAAAAATATTTTTCGTAAGTATGTCTTTTAGTCTTTATCTAATGTTAATTGTATTCGATGTACTCTAATTACGTCAATTATTATAGCTATTGTCTGCACTAAACATGATAATAATGATACACGCGACACATTACGCCCGCGGTTATGGACCACAAAAAATAGTTGTCTGCATACATCAATAACTTACCCAACATGTGGAAATACAATTTTCACTTTTACATTTTTATTATTATAATATTAACATAAAATATGTATATACTAATAGCTAGTGTCTATACGTTATATCACAGTGTAGGTATATTTCACGCTTTTTCTCGTCATAATTATACTATAGGTATCAAAAACGGGACTTGTCCGAGTAGGGAGTGTTGAGTGTAGAAATCTAAGTTTTTACTTTTTAATTTTAAGATTAACGACAATTAAAAAAAAAAAAGTACTTTAAATAAAACTTCAAGAGTTGGCCTACATAATTATTTATATTGGTATTTTAAATAAATTATTAAAATGATATTTTCTAGTTTTGAGAAACAATGAATTTTCAACTAAGTTTTGATCATGATTTTTTTTGTTTTACTGATCTTTAATTTGTTTAACTATCCAGTCTAAATTAAAAATAACTTAAGATTATTAGGAAAACTGTATACACCAAATATATCTTGTTTTTAGTTTTAAGTTGTTCAAAATTTCTAAACATTAAAGAACAGTTTTTTGAATCACAAAATCAATGTTCTAATACAACAACTTTTCTCAATTGAAGCCAAAAGAATTTTAGATATAAAATAAATTTATAAAACTATAGGTATATTCAAGCGGATGCCACATCTTCATTATTTGTAAAAATAGTTTCACGCGAAATGAACCACTTAGTTACAAGTTACAAAAGTCCTAGTTGTCCCCCTAAAGAATTAAATTTTTAAATTTWAATTWTAATATACAGTGAAACCTCTAAATACCGGACACTCTCGGTCGCTTAAATGTCGTCCGCTATTTGGAGGTGTCCGCTATTAAGAGGGGACATACAGTGAGTACACATTTCACCGTTCCCAAAATCCCGTCCGTTATTTGGAGGTGTCCGCTATTGAGAGGTATCCGTTAAAGGAGGTTTCACTATATTATAATTCACATATCACAATAATGTTAAAAATAGATAAGCTATTTTAAAAAAATGTAACACTATGAACTAGAGTCAAGGGTCACCAATTAATATTTTCCACGGGCCACATTAAGAATTCAGAAAATAGGGCCAGGAATTTCGGRCCATACAAATTCAAAGTACATACATAATATTTATTATAATATGCCGGTTGGCCAAAAATATTTTATTTCTAAATAAAAAAATATACACTTATTAATTATTTAATTATTTAACTAAAACTAATGAAAATATAATTAAATTATTGGCTTTTTCTCTCAGTCTGCGGGCCGGTTAAAATGCATTCGCGGGCCGGATGTGGCCCCTGGGCCACCATTTGGTGACCCTTGGACTAGACAATTTCGATTAAATTTTTAATAGTGACATTTCGAAAGCAAAATAAACCACTTTAAAAATATACAATTTATGTTATGTTCCTTTTTTTATAAATCTATTTTTAACAGCATTAATTAAAATAAACTTTCAAAACATTTTTCACTTCATTATGTTCATGCATATGTAATCATATAATACAATATAATATATAAATTATAATTAGTTTTTTTTATACAAATTTAAATAATGACGTATTATAGTTAACCAACTGGAAATTTATAACATGTGCAAACGTCATTACTCAACTCATCAGATTATTTTTCCAAAAAAAAAAACTTTTATTTTCCAGTTAAACCAATCATACTGTATAGACTATTGAGTAAAATATTAAACGTTTTATAAGTATAACATAATTAACATGAACTATAATAATGCACAAACTTAAACTGAAGGTTCCAATTTTTTACTTATTTTTGTCATACATTAGAATTATACATACCTAGGTACTGCAATTTGTAGGTAGATTCCTTTGTATTTTTAAAAAATTTTAAGATAAATGTACAGTTTTAAAGAAAAATGTAGGTACTTAAAAAGATGAACTTAATAAATATTACAATTAATATCAGACCATTGACTTTTATATATTATAAACAGTCAATAATATGAGGTTTGAAATGGTTGAGAATGATTTTGACGAGGTCAATTTATTATGAACATATTCCAAATGAATTTAAATTTCGTTTATCGTTTTTATCACCAAATTACTTGTACACATTTAGTTATGATTAATTATTAAATATTTATTTTTAAATGTCACTAATCAATTTTATTCGTAAAAATACACATATCCTTAAATAATAATATATTTACGGTTCAATAAAAGGAAATTATTGGAACCATTTTTATATCCTAAAATTATATTTTCAAAAATGATTTTTATTTTTTATAAAAGAGGTAGAAACAGTTTAGTAACGTAACTCTGTAGAACTTATAGATATAAATAAAAAGCAAAAAATTATAGATAGATATCCGCAAACAATAATTTTTTAGTTGGTACCTATATATATATATATTTCGTATGACAACAAGTCTATACAAATTTTTCAGTAGGTAATACAATACAATTTAAATTATAATAGATACCTATTTTAATAAATATGTATATAAGAATTTTTTAGTTTTAATCTTTTAATATTTATTTTAAGATTTTTAAATTTTTTTATTATAAATAATCAATCTATACGCTAATGCTCAATAAGTTTATGTGGTAAGACAGGACGTGAGGTGTTGAAAAATAAACCACCCACTAACGGGTCTTACCTAGCATGTATTGTATATTACATATTTATTTATTATTTTAAGGTTTAAAAATGTAATACTATATTCCTTATGAATTGTTCTTAATAGAATTTAAAAAAATAGAGACAGTACTATGAACAATTTATTTATAAGTTATCTTTTGACAATCAAAGCTTGACAGAATTAGATATTTATGCAAATAATAACAATTTAAAAATATTTGAAATACATATAGACATAGCAATTTTTTTTATGCATAGTTTTAATAATGACAACATCGGAAATTCAAACGAAAAATAATGGTTGTAATGAATAAGCTTACTAAAACTACTCACCATCGAAATATTTTTCTTTACACAATAACGTTTTTAAAAATATTTTGACTCATTTGAATTCTTTATAATTTTACAATAATTAATAATTTAATATATACGAGTATGTAATTTAAATTATGATTATAATATGTATTTAGAAAAAATTAGTATAACATTGTTTGTATAAATTTAATGAAAAATAGTCATTAAAATATCAGTGAATCCCAACAGAACAAAAAGTTTTGCTTCCATATATTTTTATTCAAACGCTACCATAGGTATATTATTATGCTTTCGTGAAGTACCTACCTAACCTAGAAGCGTTCAAAACAATAGGATATGTCTAAGTAAAGTTTTTAATTCAGAAACAATAAATACATATGTAATACGCCAAACGCAGGTATAATACCAATATAATATAAAGTACCACACAATACATTATATTATTTTTGTGTTCATGTACTGTGCTTATTTGTCTTAATATTATTAATTCGCCAATTGTTTATAGTACCTACATCTCAGCTAAAATCTCAATTCTATGGATACTAATACTTATAACTTATTGTAATAAAGATTATAAAATATTCATATTTTGCTGTTAAAGATCATATCATGTGTACATTGTGTAGCATCTGCCTATAACACCTGTTTAAGATGAAGGTTTAAGTATAACTTTTGTTATCACAATAAACAATATTATTTTTTTGTGTATACGTACTGTATGTACTTAAGTCGTTTTGCAAAAATATCAAATATCAGATTGCATGTATACAACTATACAAGTGCCTACATATGCATTAATATAAGTCAATAGTTCTTAAACAAATATACCATGTTGGTATGAAAACATGCCACACTACTTTRTATCAASGCCGCATTGTAAGCTCTATAAACCAAAGGGCTCAATAATTATTATTTTTAAAGAAGTATTATAATATATAGTAAAATATATACAATATATTTTATTTTTGCGTTCAGATAATATACGGTACCTATTTAAAAAAAGTGGTTTAGTTTTATTTTATATTTGTACTTCAGTAATATCGATCCCTTGATGTTTCTTAAATATATATATACAAAATACATGTTAAATATTATTATGGGTGGAGATACTTGTTGCACACCTCTTCATAGGATGGATCGCCAACGAACACTTGGAGCGCCCATTTATGTATGTGGGTGTATGTGTGCGTGTGAACTCAAAAGGGTATATAAACCCAAATCGTCACTGAAAACTGTCTTTTCCTGTACTATCGTCAGCAGCATTACAACTTTTCTATAAGTAGTTATATTAACAAATCGACAACATAAATTAACCGTTTAACAGCAAAATCTACATAGGTGCCTATTCAAAGTCTACAAAATGTAAGTATAAAAAATTACGAATAATAATATAAAATTATTACATCCAATATAGTTTAGTTTAAATAAATTCATCTTATTTATAAATAACTTTCTATGGCTTTTTAGAGTTAATAGTTAAATTGTTGACTTAAGTATATTCAAAAAAATTTTGCAAAATATGCATATAACGTATAGAAGTTAAATAATAAATAATATTACAATAGTGAATAAAACTAATGAATACAAATAGCTGTAGCAACAATAACTTCTAGACAATATAAAATAAAATATTAATATTATAAATAGAAATAAAACAATATTATTTTATACAGTAATTACAATATTACATAATTGTATACGTTTAATTTAAAATGATTACCGTCATAATTTTTTTTTTTTTAAGAAGCCATGAAAATTTAATGATTATTGGGTATTTCAGATTTACATATATGATTGAATACTTACGATCTACCTTATAACTTCATAACTAATCACATCATTTTTTTWAAAATTTATTCATAATTGTTAATTAATATCTATGTTAACATAATATTATAGAATGCAAATATTATGCTATGTATTGGTGGTTTATGAATATATTTCCTTTATAAATATGTAATTACATAATATAATTGTATATTTAACACTTCATCAGTAGTCAGATCAATTCAATTGATACATTTTTGAGGATTACCTTAATACACATTAAAATTAAAATTAAAGTACCAAAGTAAGGTAAAGTTATAATATGCTAAACAATTATACTGTTATATAGGTAACTATACAAGTTACAATACTGGGTTTTGTGTACGGCGGATAATATAAGATTACAAATTCATAAAGTACAAAAATATATTCTACTATTATGTTTAGTGTTTACTGACTCATTCTTAAATATTAAATAAATATACCTATATTATTAACTATGTGTGATATATATATATTTATTTTACAATTTAATAAATCATAATAATTCAAAATAAGTATGCTGGTCTTAATAGGAGTAATAATAAGTAAAAATTTAATATTTTTATCACAATAACTGAATGTTGATAAATTAGTAATCAACTAAAATATTTATTTGCTTATCATATAATATATTTAATCATGTTATAAAAGGTATTGATTCTAACTTTTATTAGACTTCAATTTTATTAAGATAACAATTTAAATTAAAAGTAATTTTTAATTAAATTCAAGTTATCTAATTTAAAAAAACTTATATACATATTACAATTACCTACTATTCATATATTTATATGCATAACGAAGTTATCGAAATGTTTATGTTATACGGACTAAGTATAATAGAACAGAAAATATTATTTTTAATTTAATTTGTTTCCCAGCCAAGTGTCACTTGATCACAGAAGTGTGACTTCTTAATTCAAAATATTCATACTACTATTATATTATCATATATACTTATTATGTTGTGTTGTACAGATTGTGTATTTCAAATTGTAAAATAATAAAAAAATAAATTTTAAATATAAGTGTTAATACAGTGAAAACTCTCTAAAACGAATCTGAAGGGACCATGAGATTTCTTTCGTTATTGAGAGTTTTCGGAATAGAGAGTAATTAATAGGTCTTAAATCAAACCAACTACTATAAGTTAACTTAATGTGATTTACGTAGTATAGAGTTTTTCGTTGTAGGTAACGAGTTTCGTTATAAAGAGATTTCACTGTGGTTTGTTTTTCATTTAATTATGATAAAAACTAAGAATTTATTAAATCCTAATACGTATTTGTTTATCATATAGTAATTATAAATGTATGATAAAAATATGATTTTAACTTATTATAACTAGTACTTCAATGCCGGTTACATTTAACTCAAAAATTAAACTTAGCATATGTTATGTTCCTTTTTTATTATTATTATTAAAAACTCATTAAATTTCTTGATGAMGTKWACTTTATAAGCTACTGAAATAAAAGAAATTATTAATAATTGTAGTTTCTATTACGTCTTCGTAAAATGTATTATTATTTTTAAAATATCYWTTAAAATATATCAATTTTTTGTTGGATTAATTTTAATTAAAATCTATATTTTAAGTAATATACAGCTTCAAATAATCTTTATTCAAGATCAAATTATCATATATTATAATTGAAAATAAATCTATTGCAATAAATCAATATTAAGAAAATATTATCAGAATTCATTTATTTGTATACACTTAATTCGCCACCCCCAGTGAAAAGGGCAGTAACTCACATTTAATCATTTTCCAGAAAAGCCATTCCAAGTTATCACCATGAATTCTAATTCTATTTTTAATTTTKTTTT